ACTCACTGTGTACCTCTTCCTGCCTTTGAAACACCAATGACTTCACGGCAGTTTGTCCTGATTTACATTAGTATGCATGTATAGAGAAACTGGTTGTAAAGACAAGATCTGCTCTCTTTTATATTCTTGCAATACATTCATTAAGTGGGTGTAATCAGCTTCTTGTAGCAATCCTGATTAGTTATGCTTAAATACTGGAGGGAGATTGCAAGAAAGTTGGAGCACAGAGGTTGTGACTAGCTTGCTGTTGGACACATTTGCCCAATAGGACTGAGCTATGTAAAGGAATGAAAAAAGGATAGGAAGGGGGAGTGATTTCACTCATTCGGTCTTTCAAATGTGTCAGGGCAGTCTAGTAGTGCAGTGTAAAATCTATACATCAATGATGACAATAATGATAAAAAGCTAATAGTATTTCTACTTGGCTAGCAACAAAAATGATGTACCCTAGGGTAGAATTTTGTAATGCCGTTTGTACGTTACAGTATCAGCATTCAATTATGCCATAGTCACAACACATCACAATAACCCATTTGTAGTGTGTCAACACAGTGAGGAAAAAAAGGCAAGGAAAAGGATTGAGGGAGTAGAGATGACATAGAAGAGGAAATGGGAAACCTTCATCTGCACCAACCCATAAAGTTTTTATAGGTACAAGCTGATATAAACATTTTTTTAAAAGCTCATGCAATTTTTAGTGTCAATTAAGGTATTATGTCGATCATTCTGTAGCCGGCTCAGATCCTGTTGAGACCACCTCATCTCACGTGGGACCTTTTACTTGCTGTCAGATCCCAGTGATTTAGTAATTACTTTTAAGTCTGCAAAATCCAAATCTGAGCTCTTTGATCAGAAGATATTTGTAAATGGTGTAATAATTGACTTCATGTGTTTGTCATTACTTACATACATGATTGCCTCCCAAGTAAAATAATCCTTTTCAGTGACAAGATAAATACAGTCATCTTCTTTTAACCATAGAATCGCATTCTTTTGTGTAAGCTCAACAATAGTTAGTGGCAATTGTTAGAAATAAAGCAGGCCCTTATATATGGTACCGTATGTGAAGCTTAGTTTATTTTGGAAGACGTCATAGTAGTCAATAGTCTGATTTAGTATTCAGGTATTTCTGGTCATGAGGTCTAATGCAGAGTAATACTCAATTGGTAAAGGCAGGTATATAAAAAATAAATAAATACAAGTCATTGTTTGTATCAATACTGGGAATAGTCATAGCCATGGAAATTACTCATAAAAAGAATGGTTGCCTTTATTTTTAACCTGCATTTTTGTATGTCCCTTTGCTTTAGTTTAGGACTGATTTGTCAGTTATATAAAGATGCTTTATCTCTTTCAGTAGTACTGCCTGGAGTTATTAATTAGGTTTCCTAGTTTGGTGCTGTACTTTTCAGGTCACAGTGATGTGTCATTGAAACAGACCTATTAAGATGAGTGATGTGTGTTGTAATTTCATTAGTGTCATCAATAATATATTACACTTTCCTTTCAGGAGTCTCTTTGTGTTTTGTGTGGGTCAGGCTGGCTGTGTGAATTATTTTTATAAGATCAAAATGAAGGAAGATATTTAAGTGGTTAGGCAAGAGAGTGGAATTAGTGTTGTTTCAAAATGTGCAGGCTACAAAGAAGATTTTGATTAAAGAATGTTTAAGTGATTGAATTATACAAAGTGTACATAGGCATCTTTCATATGGCTAAATATGTAGCAATCATATGTCACTACTGTATGCCAGCTAAATGGCTGAAGTTTATTTTTCAATTCAACTGTAATTTTAACCGACTGATACAAATATGGAAAGATAAAAATGGAATGTTATATCAGTTCTTTCATATGATGAAATACAGGCAGAGATACCAAGTGAAATCACATATATTGACTCTCTCATGAGCCTGCATCAAGAGAGAAATGAGTTTATCCAACAAAAAGGTGGCTTCACTTGCAGTACAAAGATAACTAATTGGAAAATATATGGTCCTGTTGAGAATCCGTGGCAGAAAATTTGGGAAGAAAAAAGCAGGCCCTTATAAAATTACTTATTATTCTTTTAAAGTACTGTCATACATCAACACAAAAAATAAATTGCGTAATGCCATGCAATATATCAACCATGCCTAAATTATATTACTATTGCAAAAGTTAAGATTTTCTTTTAAATGATGATAAAATCTGCCTGTTTCTTACATTCATCAAACAACTAAATATCCCTTCTTATAGTCTGATTTGTACTAGTCAGATGTTCTGGGACTTGAAGTATTTGTCTTATATGATAGCCCGTTACCAACCTGCCATTGGACTAACAATAGCAGACAGAAAATATGCTCAGAGTTGTGCAGGTTAGGTTCATAAAGAAAAGAAACATCTTTGTTCTTTTGGTTCGTTTGCAGTAAACTTAAAAATGGTGAAGCTATTACCCCAAACACTTCTTTTAGAAATTCCATTTCTCGGAGGCCTCAAAATATTGACACCTTATGATTGCTATCTCTTCACTATGGGCCAGTTCCCTGGCTAGAGTAAATTGCCATCTCTCCTTTAATGTCAAGTGACCAATGCCAGTTTATACAAGGTGAGAGCCTGGACATATATTTGGGTGCTCTGTAGTTTTCACCATATAGAAAGTTTTTTGGCTGCAGGGGGAACCTTGGATTCATTGAGGTCATTGTGAAAACTCATTTTACTTCAGTGGCACCAGGATTTCCCTTTCCGTGTTTAAAATGTGGCTCCTAATTTTGTAGCTACATTTCATTGCATGTCATAATCTTGTTTTTAAAATTGCTGAAGACAATTCAATTTAAATTGAAAATTAATATTGGTAATAGTAACAAGTAATTATTTTTACAATTGACATTTCATTAACAATTGATTACTTATTGATGTTATGATTTTAAGTTTTTATTCTTCTTGCAAAATAAATATTAGTGCATGAATAAAAAGACAAGGAATCTCTTCTTCCCATCCCACCTTATGGGGTCAGGATGAGCGTATGACTTGAAAGCGCTAGGAAAAGTGACTGACTCCTGTAATTCCTGCTGCTTAAGGTAGTTTATGGCCTGGTTTGCTGGCTTGGAGGTATGACCAGACCTCGGGTCCCCGACATGCATAATGCAGTACACTTTATTAAATACTAAATGGGCCTTCCCATTGAAGTCAGTGGGAAACTTTTTGCATTAACTTCAAAAAGAGAAGATTAGTGATAATGTGTGCAACAGTCTTTGTTCTTCCTTGTGTTCCCAAAGGTATGACTGCTCTGGGACCTATCTCAAAGTTGGCAATATTCCCCAAACCCTGCATAAAAGCCCTATGACTGTCAGCATGCTCAGATCCCACTTGTTACAGTTCATTATATTCCCAAATGAAAGCATGGAGTATAATCCATTTGTCTTTAAGGCCTGGAAATATTGTATTCATAAGTGACACCAACATTTAGCAGAGAACATAGAAATAAGCATAATACTGGTGTAGTTTTTCCAAGTTAGATTATTTGTAGCGCTCAGCATGTGCTGTGCGTATTCCTGTTGGGTGCAGTGCTTATTCCTAAAATGGTTATTTTGGTGCTATGACCATATAATGTATATACTTGTTATAGGAGAAAAAGAAGAGAAGGAGTTCAGCTAGTAAGAAATGCAGTTAAAAAGATATGGGATTTATGTATATTTTTGTATAATATTTGTATAACATTTGAAAATGTTTGTTTTTATTCCCAAACAGATTTTTTTATGAACTGATAGGCACAAATCATTACTAAGCCTAAGTGTCTGTACTGAGCTACCATTTAACCTGTCACTTCATTACCTCTCTCGCTTGTAGACTGGTAATTAGACAATGCTGATAGTAATCTACTAAAGATACTCTTTTGTGGTCTTCTGTCTTTTAGGTGAATATCCCTGGCAGTTTTATTACTAATTGAGAGTTGCCACTGGGCCTGTCATGTAATTAGATTACTAATGAAGTATATAGACTGTCCTGGTTTCTTTGTTACTGTTTTCTTCCGGTGAAATTTTTTCCTCCTTATGTGTTTAAGTAAAGATCTTGTAATCCAATCGCCTGCCACCTTTTTATTTTAAACTTCCTACACTTTGCTTTACAATCAGAGAAGCTCACCAGTGGAGATTTGTGCTATTTATGTGCTTCTCTAATTAGGATAATAATTAAATCTGGTTTTAGAAAACATTTATAGCCTGCTTTCAGAGTCCTATCAGAACCTCATGGAAGTCTTTGAACAGCTTTAAATTCTGGTTCGTCCACAGACAAAATCTCCAAAGAGTCCTGTGGTAACTGTTGCTGCAATAACAACTGCAGGATTGAGTAAACAAGTCCACTCCTATTTCTGTGATTTTTCTCCTCATTTTAAAAAAACCTCCTAAGGATGTTTACAGGAAAACCCATGTAATTCCATCCAACTTTCGCTGTTCCTTGTGCTTACGTCCGGCTTTAAGTGTGGCACATTAAATGTGGTTGTGACATCAGAGAGGGCTATGGGTAAAATAATAGCTCTTTTGAAGTCAATGAGAGTTTTTTTCCTTTTGACTTCAGGAAGCCAGACTTTCACCTTTAGGGTGTGAAATAAGGTGTGCAGATTGGATTTTCTTTTCCATGTACAAGGTTGCCAGTAATACCTAAAACCTTTTTTCTAGAAAGAGAAAAAAAAAAAAAAGCAGTACTCTTGATAATGCAAAATACTTCAAAGGAGATAAATTGCTCTCCAGCATGTGATTCAGATGAAATTCTGAATGGCTGAATAGGCAGGGAGGAGTCTAAGCTGTCTTTGATGGAGTTTGTCAATGATTTTGGCATACGTGCTCCAACAAAATAAAAATAAATACATTCTCTCTTCAATTTGCTGCAGGTTAGGTTTACTGTAGCTAATGTGTATCATTTGTAAAGTGTGGCGCTTACTCTGAGGGATCCGCAATGACTTTTGATGGGGTAATTGTTTTTATCTGTTTGAGGAAAAGGCTTACTGTTTTCCATTGTTCTTTTTTAGAAACATCCTTTATAGGCTGGATGAAAGGACGAGCCAATTTTCAGTACTGCTAGAGGCACTGGCACACTGCAAGCTGCATCAGTCAAATGAGACCCTTCAAGCAGCCTTGTCAAAGGTGTTGAACAGCATCAATTCAGCTCAGGTTTACTTCAAAGCAGGACTTGATGTGTTTGAGACTGCTTTAGCTGGAAAGAAATGAGAAGTCTTCACCGTCTAAGAAGTTTGTTTACAATTTGCTACGCAAAAGTTCGACTCGGACCAGAATTTCTGAGGGTGAAACTTTTTCAACCGCTTTTTTCCAATTGGTGTTTAAAAGTACTACAACGTATGTTTTTATGAATATAAAACAGTCTTTTGCACTGTTCAAAAATCTATCCCGAACGTCTTTGTGAATGCATAAAACATAGTTGGGGGGGGGGGGGGACGCTTAAGAATTGACTTTTAGAAGTAAATCTGCTGTATTTTTTATATATAGAATATATATTTTTATGACCAAGGGCTCAGACCTGCAAAATGCCAAGCACCTCCTGCCAAGCGCAAAGGTCCTGCTTTTTCCAGAGACGTGGAGCCCCAACCGTTTTTAATCCACGTGAGTTCTAAACATCTGATACCTCAGAAAAATTGTAACCCAAAGGTGTTCAACTCTATTGACTCCCCATGCAGTTCTCCAGGGTCCTCATTGGTTAGCTTCCTCAACAAACTCCTCACTCCTTGTCTTCCCCCACTGTCTGGGGAGAGCAGGTCAAAGGATTTGGGTTCTTGCCATTTCTTTCAAGGCCTACAGTGCTGAGCAGCGGGTGCTCAAGACATCTTGCAGGGCAGAGCTCAACATCCTGAGACAATCCTTACTCCTGTGGACAAGGCACATAGTAGGAATGTTGTTTGAGTTTTGGAAATGTTAGTAACCTTTGATCACTCTGTTTCTGCACCAGAAAGAGAGACTTGACTAAGAGTTCAATTTAATTTCAATGAGAACTGGCTGCATTATTTCACTTCGAAGAACTGAGATCATTTAGATCAGTCCATGCAGTTACTTGGAAACATTTTGAATGTTTGTAAGTTTGTGAAACAAAGTGCCTACTCTCACAGAGCTAGATGTAGCACTACACTGGTTATGGCCCACCTATTTAAAGGCACACATTAACTTTGTGGCCCTGTTATATTGCCAGAATGGGAAAGGCATCGCAGGGTAAATGAGAAGCAGAATCATCAACATCTAAAAGGTCTAGAGAAATCCTTGAGCTAGAAGGTTCAATAATCCAACAGCAGGACCCAGATTGTGGGCATCCGAACTGTAACTCCAGTATTACTAGCCATGCAAAAAAAGCCTCCCTACCAAAGCACTTCAAAGAGTCATCAGGGACTTTCTTGATTAAACATATCTCTCAGCTAAACCCTAAAGATATTTTTCAATGAAAAAAAGTTGTTTGTGGGTGACAGTTGTTCTGTTACCATTGCGTGGCATGGAGCAATCTACGTTAGGATGGGGCACAGTTTTTACTTCCCTGTGATGGTGGGGTGAATGAACATTCACATGAGTCAACTGATTTGGCATATGTGTAAAAGGGTCAAAGTTTTTCAGGTTTAGGGCTCTAAATCCATAGATGATGAATTCAAGTAATGAACGTGGTAGCAGGCTGGAATGCTATTTTAATAGTGGTTTGTGTTGGGAATTAGAGCTGAAAGTTAAAAATGAGCAGGTTCCACCAAAGTGTGGAACGTCATGAAAATGCAATAATACTTTTCAAAGCGCGTAGTCACAAAGGGAAAACTGGGAGTTTTTCACAGCTCTGAGTTTTTATTTTCCTCCTACATGTTGATTTTGAAAAATATACCTCAAATAGTTCCAGGGATCTGGTGTATAGTACAGGTGACTATGCTTCTTCAGCATATCATCATCACACATTAGTATGCAGGAAAGAATTTATTTTCATCCTTCCACTGTCACCGAATGGTTCTAGGATGGGGGAAGATACGTCCTAGAAGGAAAGTAAATCATTTGATTTATTAGACCTACCCTTAATGAAATGGTGTGGCAAAATTTTCTCTGACATTGTATTTATGTTTTCTATAGTGTTTATCAGCATAGTGTCTAACACCATTTAAGAGGTACATGATGTGTTTCTTATGGTATGTAAGAATCTAGACTAATATTGTATTTCCTAATAAGGATCAGTATCCCCACTGTAAGGTTAACAACATTTCTTTCCCAGGTTACTGCTCTCCATGGAGTCATGATATATTCACTTTGCTGGTAAAGAATTAGACTCCACTAGAGGGACTTAAATAGAGGCCACACCTACTGGCAACTGTTACTTTTCCTGACAAGATTTGCTTTCTGGGTCTGAAACATAAAATCCCCTACATCTTCTCTTAATCCAATCTCAGTATTATTTCTGGTAATGTATTTGCTGAAACCCTGTGGGAAGACTTTTCCCTGTATGTTAACACTGCATCATTTCTGACCAACCTTTCTTTCCCCTTGCTGATTAATCTCATCCTAACAATGACGAGCATCACGGGTGTCTACACACAAGCCCTGAGCAACATGGGTGTCTATACACAAGCAGTGAGGCTGCTCCGATGCTCTGTAATTACAGTGAATTGGAGCAGACTCAATTAATTGAGTAATTACCACACACCAGCAGACTCCAGTGTCTTGTGTGTGACCATCCCTGAGGTTAAAAATGGTGGCAGGGGTGCTTTATCTAAGGGTGCAGACACAAATGCAGCTCCCAGCTGTAATTCAGAACAATTTTTGCTGCGTTACAATGTTACCGCAGACCAAATAGAAGTTCACTGTTGGTTCCCGGGGAGAGGGGAATCTAGCTGGACTGCACCCAGGTTCCTATAGCAGTGGCCAAGCTCTCTGCCCGTGCTTGCTGTTTTCAGAATGGGAGAGGGGAAAGGCAGCAAAGGGAGCTCATTCTTGGGGCTCTCCAGAATGGTGGAGTGGGTGAATTGGAGCCCCCCCCCACACACACCTTGGGATGCTGCAATACAGTTGCCCCACCCTCCAGTGGGAGCTGAACACCCCCCCCACTGACTGAACTCCCTCTGCTCCCTTTCCCCCCCTCCCATTCTGAAAACTGTGGCAGGCTGGGAGCCCCACAGGCACAAGTTACAAAAGATGCTACATTTTGTAACATCTTTATATGATATCTTATGCAATAAGGGGTCAATTTTTCACTGAATCAGTCATTTTTGAAGCTGTTTGCAGCCATGCACTCGTGTTTGGTCACAGCTATAAACTGTTTTCTGTGGCCATATCTGGTGAAAATGATTATTTCCATCTGCAGTTTAAAGCTTGTTCAACAAGCTTTAGATAAAGCGCCCCACAGCCATTTTTAAGCATGGGGACACTGATACACAAGACACTCTGGGTGCTTTAATTAGAGTGGCTCTCGGAGCAACTCTAATTAAAGTGCCCCCTCTCACTACCCACAGGAGCATGTGTATAAACACCACTTGATAGTATGTATCTGTCCAGAAGCAATCCTCTGCACTTGTATGTAGTGGGCTCTTTGGATCATATTTTTGACGGTATCTAGAGGCCTTGCTTCCACTGATTTACATGGGACAAAGGCATTTTAAATGCCTTTAAAAATCTGTCCCTTTAATACAAGTTTTCTTTTGTGTGTGAAGTAGATGCTTATGGATAATTTTTGCACTGTCTTAGCTTTGTAAAAGCACTCTGGGTCACATTCTGCCATTGATTTTTGTACCCAAGCCTGTTGATTTCAAGGGATCAATAGCAAGATAAGGCACTAAGTGTCTAGTGAATTTCTAATACAGAATCTTCTCTCAGCCAGTTGTATAACATCAGATAGGGAGAAGTGTTGTAAATTGTAATAGCTTACCCAGACTGAATTATTTCTCTTATGAGGTTGAAATACATGTAATGCCTCTAAAAAGAGAGCGTGTTTGCAAAGTGCTGGAAGGACACTAAAAAAGCTGTCACGTTTTCTTTAGCAACAACTACTAAAGATAGCATAACAAATACATTAATTGGTGAATAATCTAGTGTTACACTCACTATGACCAGAAACTCCTTACATCTTACAATACTTGTGCATAGAGACAGTCAATAATAAAAGGCAAACATGATTTTATTAGTGTATATTTTAGTGAATCCATAAAGAAACTACAATATAATCAAGTTTGATGAATAATAAGTACATAGGAGCTGAAAATTGAACACTAACTTTACAACGGGCAGTGAATAATTTTTACTGTCCAAGGAAAACAAGTCTTTTTTGCTGTACAGTATCTATATTCAAACACACATACCTTAGACACATCTTCAAAGCATTGAAGAGATACTAATTTGTATGTATGTATGAAGCATACACATATACATTGCACAGAGGTGGAAGTGATAGCCATGTAAAAAAATGCAGCATAAATTTACCCTGCCCTTCTGATTGCTTCACCTCCCTTTTTCCAGCTCTTTGTGCTTTACTTAGATCAAGTATAAGAAGAACATTTAGTGACATCACCTGCTATAGCAATGCATGGAGAAAGAATCAATTTCTCAGGTAGTTATTTTTTCCCTGGGGGGTCCCCTCCCACTCTTCCCCCCCCATTTCTCTATGGTTGCCTTAGTTTTTACCTATTTCAACTAAGTTTACTGCATACATACAAAGGATACTCATCATTATAAATATAATTAAATGAGTCTTAGTCTGAATGAAAGGGTCTGGAGCACATGCACATGAAATAGGTATGGAGCGCATACACCTAAATACCTGGGAATGAAGAGCCTGTATTTGTTGGAAAGACATGCTTTGCCACTTACGGGCGTAGCCCTTTTTTACTCCTGACTATAAGGACTAATATATTCATTCCTTTCATTGCCTGTTCAGTCTCTGGTTACAACCAAAAGGATGTTCATTACACTTATATTCTAAGTCTAGAGATACACATAGAGAAGACAGTGTGCGCTAGAAAGGGTATAATGCCCATGTATTTGCACGTGTGTGCACACTTTCAAATACACATATAGTTGAATATCTCACACAGTATATTTCCAGCCAACCTTCCAAATTTCAGGAAATTCTATGGCTTGTGTTAGAAAGATCAAGCTATATAATCCCATTGGTCCTTTTGACCCGTAAAATCTGTTATATGTTCTATATGCAGTTAGGATTAAGTTTAGATAGGTTGCTTTTTTCCCCCATATGAGCACTCATAAGAGACAGGACTGTCTTGAATGGCTTGTACTTAGAGCCCTGTATCCTTTGACAGCTAGAAGGATGCAACTCCACCAAATGTTAAGGTTAATATTAAGGTTAATAATATTTAGGGCCCAGGTCTCTGATGTGGATGGGAGCTCCTTTAACTCTCTCAGTTGGGCTTTGAGTTGCTCAGTATCTCTCAGCATCAAGCCTTGAGAGGTATTTACACCAAAGACTTGGCATGATTTTTGTAGTTTTGCATGGGGACTCTGGCAAGGGCAAAATCAAGTTCCCTGTGACACCATGGGCAACCTCCTGCCTCTTTTGCACCAAAAAAAACAAAGGTACTAAAGACAGGTCTTCTTTACCACAAAGCCCTGATTCATCCCCAGAGTGGGTCCATTCTGTGCACTGTACTATCTGAGGTAGGTTCTTCTGGAATAAATAATACATGGTCATAAAAAAAACTTAATCATATTTCAGAACACTACAAAAACAAGTTAACTTTCACAGGCAGCCTCAATTCTGGCACTTCCTCACTTTACAATGTTTTAAAAGCAATCTTAATGATATTCTTGTAATATAGGTTTGTGTGTGTCCTCAGTAGAGTTTGTGCCTTGGCAGATGTCTACCACTTGAGATGAATGAATAATTAAGTTATCATCCTTTATGTGGACTAGCAGTGGAGAAGGACTAGATTCACTCTTTGTCTGAGTTTCAAAGGTTTGTTGACAGCAGAGGAGTCATGGGCTTTGGAAATCTTAGGTCCCATTCCAGGCTTTGGATGGATGTGTACAGTTTGCAGCAAGCACAGGTACTTCCACCCCGTCCCCTCCAACTTGGCCATGTCCCATTCCTGTCTCTTCCTTAGTCTCTTCTTTAATTGCTTTGCCCATGTATGCTCAGTTTTTCTACACTCAGTCTGATTGTCCAGTCTGCCTCTTGTTCCACTTACCACTCCACTAATATTTAGTGTTCATCTCCCCTTGGTTCTCTGTCTGAGTTCATTCTCCTTTCATACACAATGTGCAGTGCTTTCAGTCTCTTCCTCCATGTTCCTCAGTCTTGGTCTCTGCTCTCCACCAAGATACGGTTTCATTGCCCAGCCCTCTCCATGTCTCTGCCTCATTCTAATTCCCTGTCCTAGTTTCCCTCTTCCTCCAGCTCCTCTCCTTGTCCCAACTCTATGTTCCTTTTCCTTTGCCTAGGTCTGGATCTTATTCCCTTTGCATTTGTATCAGGCAGCTCCCTCTTCCTCCATTCTGCTTGGGTCCAGCAGAGAGACATTGTGAGCAGGGTCCTGGTAGCGTGTCTAGTGGCCGACAGCTGCAGTCCTGCTCAGCACCAGCTTGTAGCACAGCAAGTTCAGACAGGATGTGTGGGGACCTTGGTAAAGTCAAGGAAGTGCTAAGTACAGGTTTTTTTTACCAAGGCTTCTCATGGACTTCAACACAGAAAGCATAAGGTACATCCCTGCCACAAAGGCCACCTCCCTACCGAATGTTAAATGTTTGCTTCCAAGCATGGAAGGGTTAATCTTCTCAGAAGAAAACAT